ATTATTTATTATATTAATTATTACAAGTAATTTCAGTTTTGTTCAGCTTTAATTTTAGCATTCTGCTTCCACAGGCCTTGCGAAGTCCCGCGAAACTCCTGCAGCAGGCCAAGTCCATCCTGGATGCTAACCCTAAATTTTTCAACTCTGAAGATTCTCAGAAGACAAATGATGCCCAAGAGGATGGGGAATTTCGTCCGAGACCCGGATTAGGGCTAAAACGACCACGTTTCTCTATGAAACCAACTGAAAAGTAATGATTTTAAGTTATAATTAACATTCTCTCTGTGAATCCCCTTTTTCTTGTGCTGAATTGGGTTTTTCTGACAGGCCCTCTGTGGAGAGTCTTGACCTTGATAACTTGAAAGATTATGAACAATTCTTCTTGGCGTATGAACGATTGCAAAGTAAGTTATTCTCATTTCTTCTTGACCAAGTCCATCGTGGATGCTAACCCTAAACTTTTCAACTCTGAAGATTCTCAGAAGACAAATGATCCTGAAGGGTATAGAGAATTTCTTCGACAACGGAGACCCGGATTAGGGCTAAAAATACCACGTTTCTCTATGAAACCAACTAAAAAGTAATGATTTTAAGTTATAATTAACATTCTCTCTGTGAATCCTCTTTTTCTTGTGCTGAATTGGGTTTTTCTGACAGGCCCTCTGTGGAGAGTTTGTTGCCGCCTCCTGACCTTGATAGCTTGAAAGATTATAAACAATTCTTCTTGGCGCATGAACGATACGAAAGTAAGTTACTGTTTGATTCTCATTTCTCTTCATGTGGGTGACAATGACATCCCTGTGGCTTGTTCTTGTCTATGGGTAGATGCAAAAAGGGAGATTAAGAAGCAGCTGGGTGATGCCTCGTTTGAGTCAGATCAGGATAATGCATCCACTAGACCGCGGCAACGCCGACCGGGGCTTTTGGGGAGTAATCGAATGTACCTTCATGATACTCTGATAATCTGTTTAGGTTGCCTTGTTTGTGATGTTTGTCATTTTTATGTTCTGTTGTTTAACTAATTGGTCTTAATGTTATATGGGTCAGTTCTCTCAAATACAGGCATAGGTATCAAGAGAAGCCTC